ATCAATCTCCTTGTTTAAGATTTCAGACATGTAAGGTGACATGGTGTATGGCTTCCTATGAAAGGGTTTAGCATTGCCTGTGTCAATCGATAGTGAAAGCTTATTGGTCCTACCAAGACGGTCCTCATTATGAATTTCATTGAAAGAATGTATTACCTCATCAGCCAAGATTCTATTCGTATCAGAGAGATCATCTAAAGAGCAAAGGGGCCTAAGGTCTATGGAATCGCATGAATACAGAACTAATTTAAGCGGAGAGTTCGTAAGATCACTCAAAATTCGCCATGAATTGTTTTTAAAATCAACAGATACCTGAAATTGTTCAGCGAAATCGCAACCAAAAATAAAACTTTGAGGAAGTGAAGGGACTACCAAGGCTTTTAGGACCTGACAAATATTACCAATAACAATTGGAAGATCAACTAAACCTTCGACAGTCTTAAGAGCTCCATCAGCTGTGCTGACATTTTTCACAGTAGCGGAATACACACTTAACCCAAATCGCTCCAAAATGTCTATACCTTTTGCTCCTACAATAGACGTAGTAGCTCCAGAATCTAACAATACTATAATCTCTTGGTCAAACAAATTAACTGATATATAAGGTCTATTATCTAAGGGTTTCTTAATAAAAAGAGGGGACATTTCATGCTTTGGAAAATTCTCATGAAAACGACGTACAAATATCAACCATTCTTTCCAATCAGAATCATCCCTATGAGCTTTAAATGAAAATGAGGGCTTTAGTAGCTTAGTGCAACTGCCTCCAAGTCGCACAACATTTAGTTTTTTTGACAGTTAGGGCAAGAATTAGATTTTACATTCTTCAACCCACACCTGTAACAGAAAATTTTTCGCTTTAGCGTACAACTATCATGAAAATGATTTGGTAAATCACAATTCCAACAGGTTCTTTGATTTACTTCTTTAAAAGAACTAGAGCTTGCATGAGCATCATTCCTAGTATTCTTTATTTTAGAATTACTGACATTATTTGAATTGTTACGATTATTCTGGAATTTCTTATCTGCATTATGAAAGCTTCTATTGTTTTTATTAGAATTAAAATTATCTTTTGATTTATTCGTATTGTGATTGTTACGGTACCTACTATCTGAAAAATCACGTGAACTACCTTGATGGGGATATTCAGGTTGGAAAGAATTCAGCTCCCTGACAGAATGAACTTTATTCTGAATGTAAGACGCTTCTTCAAGTTTCCTACAAGACTTCATTAAATCCTCAACTGACTTGATATCGGCCAAAGCTAATTGAGAAATATATTCCGGCAAAATATTTTACGTATATGTTTGATTTTTGTGGCTTCCGTCGGCATATTACTCAACCTAGAAAACAAGATTTGCATGTGTGCTATAAACACTGCCACAGATTCAGTACGCTTCTGCTTTCTATGTTTGATCTGCTCCCAAAGTTCATCTTCTACGTCTGAATGCAAGAAATCTCTCTTCAAATACACAACCAAAGTCTGCCAATCAGTAAGAGAACTCTTGATACTTTTGTACCAAACGAAAGCATCACCCACAAAAAGCTCGGCAGCTGAAGTAAATAAATCTTTATCATCAACCTTACGGGATTGTGCCAATTCAGTAACTCGTTCAAAAAAATTGTGTAAGTTTTTACTATCACCATCGAATTTTACTTGCCAATCACTCAAAGAAGGTACTCTACTAGAACAACTAACCACTGGGGGTGCGACATTAATTATGGGGGTCTGAAATGTAGGAGAAGGCGGGGCATTACTAGAAGCTGGTTGATTATTAACCTTTTCATATAAGTCAGCTTCAGTAGTCAAGCAAGTGGCAAAGGCCTCTTTGATATAATCAGTCTGAGTCTGGTCCTCGACTGGGACTGGTAACCTACGAATTCGATTCGAAACGTGAGCTAATCTAGACTTCAAACGAGTATACGTGAAATCTGCCATGGTACCTACAAAATCTCCTACTTGGTCAGCAATATCAGCTAAGGACTTATCTATCTCAAATTTTTCTTCGTTATAAGAAAGTTCGTTAACTACCATATCTGAAATCATCGACTTATTCTTTTCAGACTCTTTATGCAAAAGAAGAGATAGCATTTTCCTCTTCTCAGCAACAGTCTTCTTACAAGTAGCTGCACGAATTTTAAGCTCATAATCCAACTCATAATCTAACTGACAATTGGGACGGAAAGTTTCAGACATTTGTTCAAAAAAATAAACAAATAAAAGATTGACTGGAAAGATGACTTGCTGTAGAAACCTATATAAACCACCTCAGACAAAATACAAAGAAGGTCAAGAACCTAGAACAATTCTACTGTCAAAAATTTTCAAGTCAAATTAACTGTAAATGTACGCAAAAATTCATTGAGTGAAATTCCCAACTGCTCAAAAAAAATAAAATAAAGGTGTACTTCGCCCCACGTTGGGCGCCACTTCTGTGTAGCGTAAATTTGGATAAAATCCAGAACTTGGCTAACAGGCATACGGCAGCTAGTAATTAATTCGGAGAGCTATGGGTTCATGAGTCTTGGTACACCCTTATCCTGGGCGCCACCTAGTTAACTGAGTCTCAACTAGGAAAGTTATCAAAGTTCTATAAGCTGAAATGGAGCAATTAAAAAGTTCCCTCAATAAAACAAACTTATAATGTTTCAAGTTTAATTTATCTATTGAATTTTTAATACTTGTCAATACATTTTGAATATATATTGATATTGGATGCTTGAGGAGCAAACGTTAAAGTCTGGAAATTCTATATAGTATTCAACATTAACAAAGAATTTAATAGTTCATAAAAAAACATCAAGGTTACGGTCAATTAATTATATGAAATGGTAAGAGGGTAAGTAGGTACACGGGTAATCGCTAGCAAATTAATATTTACTGTCGAATGACAGTCTATGATTTATTAAATTGTGACGGGCGCCTGCAGGGGGAAAATTCCGGGACTTTGTTCTGCCGCAAAGGATTTAATAATATAAAATTCACTAAATGTTTGTTGATTTACCAGATAATTTGCTAAGACAATAGTACATGTGTAACTTACTCTTGATACTCGTTATTTAGTTTCTGAACCATAATTGTCTTCTTTTTTAAATCAATAAAAATTGGGGCACACTCCAGGGCTAGGTTTCCTCCAATAGAGTGAGCTATCGCCAATGTCTTGTAGGGGAAAGCTCAGCCTCAAGACTTGGACACCAACCAAATACAAATTGGGTGCACACGGACTGAACTAGGTCGCAGAATTTGATCTAGGTTCCGGACTTAGGCCTGCACCTGAACTGATCCCGGAGCCTGAACTTATGTTTGAACCAAAACGTGGTCTTAGGACTGGACCCAAAAACGTGGGCTTCGGACTAGACCCAAAAACGTGGGCTTCGGACTAGACCCAAAAACCCTACAACCACAGTTGTGTAAATAAGTGCACAGAAATATAATTAAACCTTACCTCTACGAGGGTTGCTGAACACAAAATACTGATAGGGGAGTCTTCCCAGACGGAACCAACTGATTTCGTACCACACAAGCGAAAGAAATTCAGGCCTATTGTGAGCTCGTACCAAATTTCAAATATTATTTGAATGAGACTCAAAGGCACAGAAAATTCTGTTCGTGACTTCTTGTCCCAGTGCCAGCACGAAAAAGAAAGAAGTTGGAAGAAGGCCCACGCCACGAGGAAGATTTCTTGATACCGGAAAAAGTAAAAAAGGAAATTCCATAAGGGAGGTATTGACTTGACATATGACACCACAGGTGTGTTCACGAGGGAACGATAAAAATATTCGAGCTGTACCGAACCACCTTGGAACGGAGCTAGAGCGAAGGGACTACCTCACGAAAGCACCTATGCCTAAGTAGTTCAAAAAAGAAGAATAAATGTTGACGTCCAACCTAACCAATTCAAAAAACAGAAAGGTAAACAAACAACCTGAAATTAGAAAAACAAACACAGAATTATCACACTCGGAAAAATCAGGCAAATAACATTAAGGAACACTATAGCATAAGCGAAAGGTAAGCTAGAATCATTTCGAGAATCATTTGATTGAATATGAACATAGCCCAATGACACAAAGGTCATTCCTTTTGTATTCTAGCTCTTGTCTACAGATAGAAAGCGGCCGTCAATCCACCTACAAAAAGAACTAGAAGGAAGGTACATACTACAAAATACAATGTTCGAAATTATGAATGACAAAGGACTTGGGGAGTCGAAGCCTCCAGCTAAATGTTGTAAAATAGGACTTGTGCTATGATAGATATTTTGTAGAGAATTAAACATAATGTAAATGACTTATTAAGGAAGGATAAAATCCAAAAATGTACTAAGTATATGTATTAATAAATCCCTTGACGAAAAATGTCCGAGTGATCAAAATTCCAAACTAACATCACAGAAACAATAATCCAAAACTGTAGTGTTTTTAGAGCAAAAATCTAAAAATGCTACAATAAAACACAAGTCACTAGTAACTGATCTGCTTAAATTGCCGTATTTATACACTTGATTGTCCTTTCTCTTTCCGTTCACTATTGTAATTATTAAAATAAAAAAATGCAGTAGGTAATTCCAATTTATGTATTATGCTAAAATGTAATAAATTGCAATAATTTATGCAGCTAAAAGACGCTAAGTTTATACGGACCGTATTTATACACGCGATTATCCTTTCTCTTTTTGTTCGCTATTGTAATTATTAAAAGAAAAAAACGCAGTAGGTAATTTCAATTTATGTCGTAGACTAAACTGTAATAAATTACAATAATGTATGCATTAATAGACGCTAAGGTTCTACCGATAGGATTGGCAATCCTTTCCAATGTCACATGTAATTTACATGTTCTAGATTTTACTGTTGGTATATGCCTTTTTAAAAGAATTAACGATTTTCATTTTATATAAAGAGATCGGTAAAGTAAACAGATTATCATTCGATCTATAATCGAGCTTGTAGAATTTAGACACGACAGTAAATTAAAAAAAATTAATTCAGTCAGAATGGCAACTAAAAAAACAACGATTGGTGCAGCAACTGACATAGCGAAGGTAAGTCTAATAATTTTTATTGTAATTTAATTAAACAATCGAATATATTCCAGACGAAATTATGTCAATTGACAAAATACATAAGAGTATTTGTTAGAACATACGAGAATACCTTCCAGGAATCATGTCCGAATAATGAAAAAGGTTTGTCGTTCGATTCTCAAGAAGAATATGAAAATGGCATTGTGGAGCTATGTTTCGAGTGTGCGAAACCAGTTTATCCCTTGGATCGACTCGAGAAAATTGATCTACATAAAACAATTGAAGAAAATGAGAAACCAACTTATTCTGAGTGGTTTTGTATTAAATGCGAAAATGAAATGGTAACATTTGTCAAACCCGATGAGTGTGAATTTTGTATAGATAATAAAGTATAATTTTTCTCGTTCAATAAAAAAAAAATAACAGAAACTTGTAATTTTAATAAATACTAGGCTTTTTTTTTTTCCTACAAATTTTTTTTTTCACCCTCCCGCGGATCACACAACCTCCGCGCACCCACGGACGCCGGACGCGGTCACCCACGCTTCACCTGTCACTTGGCGGCTCGCCGGAACGCACTTGGAAAAATGGATTGATTCTCATTGGTTAAGGGTGAACCTAGAGGTCTCACAGACGGCAGGGGGCGATAATTACAAAAGCCCCCCGGGCTATTATAGGCAACTGAACCTATAGATGGCGCACCGGACACCTGCACCAAGTACCGAGAGATGGCGCGTCAGGCGGGGGAGCGGGACGGTCCCCGAACCTAGATGTTACACCTGCGGCAGGTACCGAGAGATGGCACGTCAGGCGGGGACGCGCAGGCAGGGTTGTCTTTGCGCGCAGTTTGGAAAAATACGATAACGTATCGAGCTCTCTCCGACATTGATTTCACAGTCCAAACATCTTTCTTTGTGTTTCTCATTGCGGGCAATTCGTGAATTTCCCAATCACGGAACCCGAAAAAGATTGGTTTATTTCGGGAAATTTCCTCCAACAATTGCAGTTTTAGGACATCATTGGGATAAATATGTTTAACTCGCAACTCAATCGTCGATATTACTAAAGTAGCCTTTTTATTGCCTGTAGAGTTTACGTAGAAATTGTCATCATTTCTAGCTCGAACAAGTTTCAGCTTCTGTTTTCCCATAACTGCACTAGTGTAATCGGCGAAAACACCCAGTAGAAAATTTAACGGTATTAGCAAATTAAATGCTTTTGTTGTTTCATTCAGGGTTTTGAGCGGCGTACTCCATCCTGCGACGTCTAGTACTTTGCTTTCGTGTTCATTAAAGCATAGCAAACTTTTTATGGTGCTTGTCAGTCTAGGGTCTCGAACTTTCTCAATTTCTCTTCCGTTCAATTCATAAGTTATGGTCTCGAACAGAAAGGCTTCCACATTATTTGTTAACGAACATGTTCCTGTCGTCTCACCACCACCCGCACCTGCCACCGTATTGTCCTCCTTAAAGTTGGCTTCAATGTAAAGCTCAGCTTGACTAATGTCCATAAAGACATCTTGCTGGTTGATAACTATCTCAATCACATCACTGTCGTTGAATGATTTTGTGAATGGATGATATGTATGCCATTCTTCTCGTGAAATGGATTCATCCACGTTGACCGGGTGAAATATTTGAAGTTTTTCCGATACGAAAACCATATTTGTGCGATAAATAGTGTAAATAAATCAGACTCTTGCGTGAGTCCGAATCAGTCAATTCAGTATTTTCCGCGAATGGACAAGCTAAAGAGTTTATATCGGTTAACACACCACAAATATTTCTAACTAAGCTGTCTTTATCAACGTCACTGTCCACTTCTAAAATATTTGCAATGGAAACCAATTCATTTTCGGAAAAAGTGTTCATAACATAGTCTATTTTTTGTTCAAAAATGTCAGAGTCTATGGCAAAATTGAAACCGGTGAATTCACGAAGGCGTTTCCTATTTTATCTATCCCCATCTGCCTCAAAAACTAATTAATGGAAATGTTTGATGACTTTCGTAGCTGCAACACGCAAAAATTCTCTAACGCGTGTTATATCACCAAAAGCAGTCATTTTTAAATGTTTTCTACCAAGTTGAAACAAATAGGAAAATAAAAATAGGCACAATATCCACAAATTATACTGTCCAAGAGTCTCTAATATTTAAATTTTCAGTCTATTTTTCTCTGAAGTCTTTTAAAGTTTCAACAGAATAGAAAGTTTATTTGGATATAAGTACCTACCACTAGGCATTGGCAAGCTGTTACCCGCGCGAAAATTAAAATGTCACTACTCGTAATAAAAGCCACAAGAAAAAGAAAAAGGTATAAATACGCTTACCTTGGGTAGTATCCTTTTTTTTTAAACACCTTTATAACACATTTAAAATTGTTCAAAGTTTCAAATTTGTAATCACGTCAAAAGTCAACCGTTCTTTCCAACGCACGCAAACCCGAAATCCGTACCACGCAACTGTCACGTCAAAATGTCAGAGTCCCAGAATGTCAAAATCGGAGCCCTATCCCGGTTGAGCCCCCAATTTGTGGGATATGTAGGGACGATTTGAGTATCTGGGGTTAAAAAAAATCACAAAGCACCAGAACAACAGTTAATATTATATAATGATTGAACTTCGTAAAAATAACACAGAATATTGATCATAATTCGCGATAAATTATTGTTCGTCGTTAATCACTTCGTCGTTCTACGTCGTTTTAATAATTCTCGCGCTTGCCAAATGGCCGTCGTTAGGTCGTTCGTCGTTTTTGCCAAGGGATCAAAAAAAAACCGCACTATACCCCGTTTGGCATTTTTAACAATGACTCACAGAACATATCACCTCTAGAAAAGTATCTGCAATGGTATGTACCGGTTATGAATTACGGCGCCCTCGTTGACTGAAAACCCAACTAATCGAGTATTCTTGACAAAAAGGCGAATTGATTTTTTTCATATATTTTTATTATTTTTGTATAATTTTTAATGTTCAACTGCATTTGGCTTGCTGACTCCTCTTAGCTCTTTTCGCCTCATTTTTTTAAAAACTATGACTGGCAGGAAGTTTCCGATGTCGAACATAGTGCAAAAAGAGTTAGTAAGTTAGCAAGAGACACGCAGTTATAGGTAGATCGCAAAGTAAATATGAATAATAAATACAAATACGAACCAAACGAAACAAACGAATAAATACAAAAAAATACGAACAAAAATTAGGTTTTTTTTCAACCAAAACTTTTTGAATTTTCACTTTAACGCGCGTGGAAACCGTGGGGTACAACAACACAATTTAAAAATTCAAATTTTGACTTTTAAAATGACAAAATAAATGACAAAACCAACCAACACAAATCACTGTCCACACCACAGATACCTGTAAATTTCTCTTATCTCCCGACAGTGTCGCCATCGTTGAATGAAAACCTAACTAAAAACCTTTGTCGCGATTCTTCCATTTGAGATATTTTTCTATAGGTGATATGTTCTGTGCAATGACTGATGACTAATGTCAATGCCATCCGTGCATAGTTCTGGTTCTATTCCAGGTAATTTCCCACAATACCGAAGAATAGGACGAGGATGTTCACCAACCCAAACTAACCTAAACACAAACCGATTTAGAGACACTAAAAGAGAGTATTCAATACGTCCTGATGCAAGTTGGTTTTCAGGAGCTATACTGCAACAACCGGCAGAATAATGGATAACGGTTTCAATCGTCAGTGGTATTGTTGTAACCAATGAAGTTTATCCGATGTTTCAAGATTCGGAAACATTCTAATTACAGGCTGGACGCTTCAACAACTCCCTCACTTAGATATAAGTATTAATAAGGTAAACCCTCTAGAAGCATCATCATATCTACCACTGCCAAAGAGTATAGATGCTATAAAAAGCTGTCCTGAACATTCAAAATAGCGATCAAAAATGTTCAAACATCCTTTTATCTAGAGACAGTGATCTTTTCAACATATGTTATGGTTATCAAAAACAGACAGCTAACGATGTTGTTTACTATTCTAATCCTGATTGGAGCTGTATGTATAATATAGCAGAAATGGATTTAAACATGCCAAAGTTGGTGTTTCATCAGGTGTCTCTATTATTTTTCAAGTGAAGTTCAATTGCAAGATATCAGCTATCAACCAATGAAGTTTATGCGAGGATAAGCTGATTTGAGGATGATACTCAAGAATAGGACGAGGACGTTCACTAACCCAAACTAACCGAAACACAAACCGATTTAGAGACACTAAAAGAGAGTATTCAATACGTCCTGATGCAAGTTGGTTTTCCGGAGCTATACTTCAACAACCGGCAGAATAATGGATAACGGTTTCAATCGTTAGCAATCAGAAATCCAATTATGAATAACAAAACAATTTCTTAAACTACACATATACGGTTTTAGTCTCAGGGACCAGTGGTATTATTGTAACCAATGAGATTCATCCAAAGTGTATAAAGGTTAAAAATTATGATGATTGTTTAATTCGAGAATCAAACAAACTACAAGATGAATAATGGATAACGGTTTTAGTCACCAGTGGTATTATTACAACCAATGAGATTTATCCAAGAGAAGCGACTAAAACTTGGAACGATACTCCTATACATTGGACTATTAGGATATTTCTAATTAATGAAACAGAGCTTCCACCATTATTATTAATTGACAGCGTGGAACGACATAGAGATAACTGGGTTGTCCTATCAACAATTTTTATCAATGTTTTGCGGTTTCTTCCTAGAAGATATTTTATAGGTGAGTAAATTTTTTTGGTTTTTGAAGATGACGTCATAGACTAGGACGAGGATGTCCACTAGCCCAAACTAACCTAAACACAAACTGATTAAGAGACATTGAAAGATAGTATTGAGTACGTCCTGATGCAAGTTGGTTTAAGGAGATATACTTCAACAACCGGCAGAATAATGGATAACGGTTTCAATCGCCAGTGGTATTGTCGTAACCAATGAAGTTTAACCGAGGTTTCAAGATTCGGAAACATTTTCCTGATGCAAGTTGGCTTCAGGAGCTATACTTCAACAAAAACAGACAGCTAACGATGATGTTTTACACTTGAATCCTGATTGGAGTTGTATGTACAATATGTCGGAAATGGATTTAAACATGTCAAAGTTGGTGTTTCCATCAACAGGTGTCTCTATTATTTATTTTTTTCAAGTTGCAAGATATCAGCTATCAACCAATGAAGTATCTGATGAAAGAACCAGAAACGAAATTGAGAGGATATTGAGGGTTTGGAGGGCACGAGCAGTCTATGCCGAGCAGAAGATAGCTTTGTTTCGAAGAGCACTTGTGATGGGCTTCAACGATCCAATGGTTGAGTTTGAAGCTATAGAACAAGAAAATAGAGGAGTACTATGTTTCGGATGTGAAAACA